GTCGCAGGATACCCTCTAGGTGATAGTTCTTGATTACTTTTTGATAAATAATTCGTTCTTATTGCGAAATAGGAGCACTATTTATCAATCTGTGAGAAAAAACGTGAGGAAATTCTGTCTTTTTTGAAGACGAAAATTTTTGAGGCGAAATACCCAACAAGAAGTTTGTAAAAAAATGAATCCGCCTCAGCAATATAGAACTTATCTACAACTTGAATTGATAAATTCCACAAAGATCCTAATCTTACAATCCCCGACACGTGCAAAAATTTACATAATTTTTCATCAAAATGTATCAGCTTTTGCTTGCAAATCTAATTGTCTAATTTTTAAAAACTTCTTAAGAAATAATTATCTTTCGATGGGAACCACATTATCCTGGATGTATTCAGTTGTTTCATTTAAGATAAAGGAACCTCTTTATCTCCGGTTTGCTTTGCAGTTGTTAATCACACTTTACGAAACGGTCACATTGCTGTGATAACAGAAATTTCCATTATGACCGGCGAAAACCTTTGCCTAATAGTCGGTTTAGTTGGGGATTAAACCACTATCTTTATAACAACAATTTATTTTGGTCTATACCGTTTTTAGCTGTGTGTATCTGAATATTCAAGCCCATTTTCACCATAAAAACTCTTCAAATATTCGCTGATAATCTGTCGCCCAAATGATCAACTTTTATTGACAGCAAATGTGATTTAACTCACAAGAACGGCTTAAAATGTCTAGAATTTAATCAGTTTAATAACATCAGAGGACTTACGCGTAATCACAAACGGAGCGAATTTCGGGCGAAAACACTTTTATTCGTTCGCGAACAATTTACATTTCCCACGCGAATTTGGAACAATTACAGGAAAGTTCCAAACAAACTCTTTTATTACGTTGATGAGATATAAAAAAATCTCTTAAATTGCTTTATTGGTTCGTGTATCAATTTGGCTTGAAAAATTGCGATAAATTCGCTGCGTTTTAATAAAGTTCTCTACGAAACGCCCAGCTCTCGTATATGGGGCTGCTTGGAAAAGGACAGCGTGGTTTCCTTGACAACTTGTATGTTGCGCTCACTCCTGAGCACAGAAACAACTGGACCTCAAAATCATCGACCCCGTTCGAACGCATTGATTATGTTACGAGGGCGAATTCAGATCTATGACGAACCAACACGATTTTGAGCAATTTGACTACTGTTTTTTTTTAGCTTGAAACTGGGGCATTTTAACATCAACCGCTCACTGTTGCTTTTGCCATATTTCGGGATAAAATTGACGTTAACGCTAATTTTATAGCGCGTAATGTAACAACAAGCTCTTTTATTACATTGTGGAGATATAAAAAGCCGGTTAAACCGCTTTACTGTTTTATGATCCGGGGATCAACTGACTTGGCGAATTGAGTTAAATTCGACTGCATATTTGTGAAAGTGTTTGTGTCATTAAACTCCCCGTTGCAGAAGCAACGTGTTAGAACCAACACCACTTTCAATGCGTTTCTGCTGGCGGATTCTCCGAAACTTTCGAACAGCCTCAGAACGCTTTCGATGGTCAGACATCTGGTTCTGGAAGACGATGTGAAGGAATATTGGGGCTTCTATCTTCTGAAGGGATCTTCTGTGACTGTGAACACCTGCGTGAGGTAACAAGTGCTTATCTGCTTGCGCCAGCATGATGATATTTTGTTGGACGTTCAGGTGGCCTGGAGCTTCTTTAATAGTAATCCGCGGTCACAGACATCTGCACGAATGCGCCTACATCGGCGACGATTCTTCGGAAGAACTGGATGAACTGATGGAAGCGATCAAGGAAGGAAAATATGTGGGCAACACCCAGGATCTTCAGAAGCCGGTCTCGAATGAATCGATCACCAATGATCCGGAGCTGATGAAGCGCCATAGATCGGATGTGGAGTTTCACAGGTGCGAATTATCTAACCCTTAACAAGAACTGTTCAGAAGGAGTGAACCGTTGAATTTGCAGCCCTCACCATGCCATCAATAAGGACAATCACACCCTGAAAGACAATGTGGATATTTCCGATCTGAACGACTCAAAAGTCCTGAAGTCCATCCTGGAGGCGCTCAAGCTGAAGAAGAACAAAAAGGGCCAGAAGGACCATCCGCACTTTAAAAGAAACTCCACCATTGCCAAAAACGAGACCGGGAACTTCAACATCTACTCACCCGGTAAAAATTCCTGTACACCAATAGAGTTTTTTCAAATAAAACTTCCATTTAGGAATGTTTCCTGGGCTTTGAAGCCGTGGTCTATGGGAATTTTATCCTGACGTTTCGTCCACAACTGCGCTGGACATCATCAAAGGCGATGAGGCAGTGGGCAAGGTGATCTCCCGTGCTTTCCGACTAAGACTGGTTCAACTACTGGATCCCCTGTGGCCGCATAAATACGACAGTCTTAGTCGGAAAGCACGGGAGAT